CTTATCCATCACCCCACCTCCCTTATCCTCCACCACATCAACCTCACACAAATTAGCCAACCTCCTCTGCTTCTCCCCTGCTGCCACCAATCAAACACCACCACAGCCCAAACCAGCCTGCAACCCCGCAAACACTACACCACCACAGCCCAAACCAGCCAATTCACTCACCTGCTGCCACCCTCACACCATCCACGCACCAGCCTAAGCAACCCACCATCAATTTCAACCACCAGCTGCTGCCACCAACACCACCACACAGCAACCGTGACAATCACACGCACATCTCCAGCCTAACCATCCCGCAAACACCACACACCACCAGCCGCAACAGCCCCTGCTCCAATTCGCAATTAACCACCAGCTACCGCAACCTACCACAACCCAGACCACCGCAATAAACCGCTTTTAGCCACCCAAAACGGCAGCCCTTCACCACACCTGACCCAAGCAACCAATCGACCCCTCAATTAAGCAAAAATCAGAGTAAATTGCAAATTAATCAAGTTCGAGCAAACCGTTGAGGGTTTGACCGAACTTCGAGTCAGAGACTTTGGGGGTTTTGTTATTCGAAGAGGAGTGGTCGAACACACCCTTGGTTCGACCGAACCAACCCCGTAGTTCGGTCCATCGGTTCGATCGAACCATTTCACGAGACTCGCGCATGGTTTTTAATGAAGATCGAACGGCTTGAATTGATGCTCGATGAGTGCTGTTGAAGATGAACGGTGGCGATTTCATATGGAAGCTTGATGATGGATTTTGGTTAGGCTCAAAGTAGGGGATCATCTCCCATTTTTAGAGCAGCCAACATGTCGAAGAAGAGGGGAAAAGGGTCTGATGATTTTGGTGGGTTTAGATTATTATTTCATTTTCTTTTTCTTTAATTTTTTTTATTATTATTTCTTTGTTTTCTTTTCTCTTTTCTTATTTTCTTTCTTTTATTTTTTTTTATTTTTATTTTAGGTTTCTATTTTTACTTTTCCTTTTTATTTTATTTTATTTTCTTTTTCTATTTTTCCTAGTTTTATTAAGTTAGTATAAATACCCATTTTTGGGGTAATTAGAGAAACATGGAAGAACTATCATCTATTCTTCTCTCTAATTAGTTTTAGGTTAGGTTAGGATTAGTTTTCATTGGTAGAGAGAGAAAGTGTGGTTTTCTTCATTAATGAACTTGAATTTTGAAGAAGGAGCTTGTTCAATCCTTTGTAGACCTTCATCTTCAATTAATGAGCAATCTCTTACTCTTTCTCTTTACCTTTGTTTTTGATTTTTCTTATTTGCTTTTATTTTTCTTCTTTGCTTATTAATCATGTTGATGCTTATTGATTTGATGATTGATATTGTTTTCAATATGATTTGTGAGTAGTCATCTAGCCAAGGGTGTGGGGATGGTGTAGTTGCTAATTGTTCATGCTTTTAATGTTGGGGTTATATTAATGGTGATTAAAGTCTTTGCATGCTTGATATTCTCTGGTCTTTCTTGCAAGTGCACATTGTTAGTTGATCAAAGATGAGTCTTTACTAACAAGTAACGGAAGTTGACTTAGTTGAGATTCATTACTCGATTGTTATTTAATAGTACCTCCTAGTATATGGTTCTAATGTGGAAACATAGAGACTATGTTAGGAGAATCCAATTGACCCCGGAAGGCGGCTAGATTGGACCCTTTACTTCGATATTCATGCATGTTTAGTTTACCATTGATATGCTACTTTGTTATTATATGATCAAGCGTCAACTTCACCTACCCATTCCCTTGTTGCCTTAATGTTTTATTTCTTGTTTTAGCATCTTTAGACTTTAGTTTATTTATCTCCTATTCCGGACTAGCTTAATTGTTGATAACATTTGGTGGTGTTTACCGTTCTCTGTGGTTCGACCCCTATGCTTGCCTTATACTCGTATTAGGTTTGTTTAGGTTGTATAAATTGTATTTGATCTAGGGATAGACAATTGACGACGCGTTTATTCCCTTGTCAGGCCCCTATGCCCAGAGATGATGAACCTATTTTATTAAATAATGCTAATCTTGATTCCATTAAACCTGACAATGTAGCTAGTAGCCCTGCAGTGCTAAAGAGTAGTACTAATATTTTTGAAAATACATTTCAGGTACGACTCCAGGGAAGGTAGCAACTCCAGATAAGAGCAGTAATGCTTAAAAGCCGGTTATCAAACTTCCATTCCCCAATCGTTACTTGAAAACAAATTTGGATAAGTTTCTGGAGATGGTTAAAGATTTGCAGGTAACAGTTCTCTTCACTGAATTAATTACACAAATTCCTGCATATGCAAAATTCATACAGGAAATATTGACAAGAAAAAGGTCTATTAGTGAGGTAGAGACAGTAGCTTTCACTTCCGAATGTAGTGCCATAATTCAAAATAAATCTCCACCTAAATTGAAAGATCCGGGTAGTTTTTCTATCCCTTGTCATATTGGCAATCTAATGATTGATAATGCATTATGTGATTTGGGTGCCAGCAGTGTTATGCCAATGTCTGTGTGTTCCAAGCTAAATATGGGTAAATTAAAAGCTACTAATATTACTCTACAAATGGCCGACCGTTCTTTCAAATACCCCTTAGGTGTTTTAGAGGATGTTCCTATTATAGTAGGTAAATTTTATATACTTGTTGATTTTGTTGTTCTTGATATGGTTGAGGATACGCAAACCCCAATTATTTTGGGTAGACCATTCCTTAACGTCGCAGGAGCAATTATTGATGTGAGATGTGGCAAATTGACACTATCAGTAGGGGACGATAAAATTACTTTTAATTTGAATAATACCCCTCTAAGCCCCATGACAGAGGAGAAGTGTTTTAGTGTTGATATGGTTCATAATTATTCTAACAAGCCCCAAGCTCTTGTAAAAGATCCCTTAGAGGCGGTATCTTGTGTTGCATCCTTTACAGATGAAATAGACAAATGGCAAAAGGAATTTGATGCAATATAAAGGGCCCTCTACACTGTCGGTCTTGGCTTTGAAGATGAGAAGGTGGAATTAAACAAGCAAGCTATGGAAACTGAGCATACAGTAAGTGTTCCGCCAGATCGAGTTGCAATTGCTGGATCTAGTGAGAATCTAGTGACAATTTGAAGCAACCATCGATCGAAGAGGGGTCTCTAGTGTGCAGTATTAAAGAACCCCCAGTCCAAGTCAAGGAGGATCCACTAGATAAGGTTAATTAGTGTCCCACAGGGTATGTCAGGAAGCCGCGTCGTGGCCTAAACACCGCTCGACCGGGTGAGAAACCACCCAACCAAGCGTTAGGCCAAGGGTCCTAGTTCTTATACTTGGTAAGAAGGTCGTGCAAGACCTAGATAAACCAGCGCTTTGCGGGAGGCAACCCGTATTTTCTTATTTTTTTAGACTGATTTTTCTTTCTTTTTCATATGAGAGGAGAGAGGAGGGAATTTAATGAGTTGATTGAGTTGTACAGGTTTGGAAAGAGTTAGTCAAATTTGGAGAAAAGAAAAAAATCAAGCGTCAAAAGTTGCCTCAGGCCCGACCGGGCGAAGCTCGCCCGATCGGGCGCGAGAGTAAGGTTAAAAAAATCAGTGATTTTCGCCCGATGAAAAACGGGCGCGAGATTTGACGTATACAATGATTTAGATAGCCCGACCGGGCGCGAGAGAAGAGGAATTTCTGGCTTCACCCGATCAGGCGCGAGAGCAATAAAAAATACAGAAGCAGATCGCTCGATCGGGCAATAGATCGCACGACCGGGAGCGACACCTTATCCGTCTTTTTTCTTCTTCTTCCTCCCTTCTTTTCTTCTTTCTTTCTCCTTCCTCCTAAAACCTTAAAACCTCTACCTTCTCTCTAATTTATTCTCTTCATTTCTCACCCAAATTCAATAATTTTTACACATTCCTTCTCCTCTCTTCATCCTCTACAATCCTACATAAAAATTTTCAAGTTTCAATTAAATATTTTTCATACCCATTTCTCTATTATGGCTTCAAAGAGGTCCCGATCGATTTTTGGGAGGAGTTCTAGTTCAAGGGAGGAGTATGATCCGAATTTGCAGCTTCCTTATTGGCCAACAATCCGAATAGCTACCCAGGAGAAAAAAGAGCTAGAACACCTTGCCGTCGCTTCTCCTCCTTGGTTAGGTAAATTGCCAGACAACTATCTTCCTCATCACCATTATCTTCCGGGACATCATCATCCGATTCAATTTCTCCATCGAAATGCTCCCCATCAAATAAAGGGTTGACATTTTTGTCAAAACTCCCCGACGCTTGATTATATGGAACCCTAGGGTTCATAGGGACATTCATCTCAATAGAATTTGGCACAAATGAGACCTCTGTGTCCATCGCATCTTCATCAAAATGATCAACTTCATTAGAATTCCTCTTAAATTTCTTATTAGAGCGCTGGAGAATATCACTCTCCTCACTCGACAGACTCTTCGCTCGCTCGCTCTCCATTTCTTTGGTTTTAGGTTCCTGAATACCTTAATGAAGCTCTAATTTTCAATTTTTCTATGCTCTTTTTGTAATAGAAATTTCCTCATAAATTTCACATATTTCATTCACGGATTAACACTAATATTTTTAGAAGGATTTTTTTAAGAGCTGATACACATACAACCATTGTAGTATGTTGTCCCTATATACAACAACACTAGAAACTTGACACATTATCAAAAGAGGAAAGAAAACTAGGAGTCAAATTACAAATAACTGAGAGCACTCACATTTGAAAAGTTATAAAGAAGACTGAATTGTAATTGTATAAAAAATTGGTTGTAAGATACAAACACACACACACACACACACATATATATATATATATATATATATATATATATATTGAGGGATCACATATATTTAATTAGGGGTGTTTATTCAATTTTTGGTTTAAAGTTAACCCAAATTCATTCCAATCCAAATAATTTCGATCTTACAAAACCTTAATAAAAATCCGCCTTAATCAAGAATTTATGCTAGTTTAATGTAAACCGGGCGCAAGTAAAACGTTTTGTAGTCTCAAATTGTACTCTCTCCATCCATAAGGAAGCTTTATTAACTTGTAATTGCAACCGTTAGACAGGATGAGGTACTATGCTTCTGGCTTCTGTCTATGGCTTCCCTCAACATTACTCTTCCGCCATTAAAACCCATTTCATTTTCTCTCTTCTCTCTCTCTCAATTCCATGGCCGAACACTCCCACACCATCATTCTTCAATACCCACGTCTTCTCTTCCTATTCTACCACACGGCCAAATCCAATTTTTGAAATTCAAAACTCCCAAAATCACCTGCACTTTCTCTTTGATTCCCACCACTTCTGGGATTCCCATTGTTGAAGATGATGAAAGTGGGTTTATAGTTGTAAACTTTTATCACTTTGTTTATATTGAAGACCCTGAATTTGAAGTTTCCAAGCATTTATCCGTTTTAGAGGTTCATTTCTAATCTCTTCTCAAATGCAATTATGTTGTTTGGTTCGATTGAGTGAATTGGAGGAATATGTAAGAGGGTGCTTGGTTCACACGATTAAGGTATAGAGTACTTTGTATGAATTTAGAATGGCTAAATTAAAAATGTCCTAAACATATACTCTATACCTTTATTGTGTGAATCCTTGTACATATTTGAACATCCATTATAACTTCAGATTGGAGTAATTATATTGGGATTTTATTTTCATTTATTGGATTTTTTTTATATGGATGATAGATTTATAATTGGAGAAATTGTGTAGGAACAATGTAAACTTAGCTTGTTGTAACTGTGGCTCATGGGAGCTCTTATAGTTGGCAAATGAGCAAAAACTAAGTGTGGCTGTACTATGCAACTGAATGTGGTTGTATTTTGCGTTGGGTACTCCCTGGTGAAAACTATTATATACACCCGGGTGCACCGTGCATCCAACTAATTCAAAGTTAGTTTTTGCTCTTTATTTGATGATTAAATGAATAACAATCATTAAAATGAGAACAAAAACTCATGGTTACACTAAACACCCAGTTGTATATAACAATCTCTCATTCGTGGTGTATATTGGACATCGTTGCACCAATAGGTTTTGTGAAAATTATTTTTTTCATTGGGGTGATAATTGAAAAGTGAGGATGGTTTTGACTAGGGTGTAATCGAGTTGAGCCCAAGTTGCTGAGCTTTTATGTTCATGTATACTTAACTTAGGCAAGTCTAACCTTGAGCCCAAGCTTTCAACTGAACTCAATACGTTCTAGTTTGGTTTGTATAGGAACTAATAGTGTTTGTGGACGGTTCATAGATGGCTCATATACTATTCGAGTCAAGATCATAAATTGGCTTATGAAAGAAACACATTTTCTTATGCATGAGGTTTTTTTTCCTATTATTTAAAGTGATTTTCACTTTAAACATTTGAGATTATCAAAATGAAGCTGAATAATCATATCATAAATTTTGTGAATTAGTCAATAATGTTCATTAAATGAGCTTTGAGCTTTTTCTTAAAAACCGATGCTGTTCATGAACATAAATAAACAAGCTTGTTCGTGAATATAAATAAACAAGTAGTTCACGATTAATATATATGAACGGTTATATCACTATATCTATTATTCATGCTCTAGCAGTCTAGCTCATTCATTAAACAATCTTAATAATTGTTAAGCTTGGTCATTTATTATATAAACAAATCTTATTGAGCTTAAGCTGAGCTCGTGCTAGAGTTGCTTATTAAGAATCTCAGCTCATCATTAACTGTGAAAGCTGTGGTAACCAAGATTATAAAATCGCCAAAATTGTGTTAAAGTTGTGTGATTTCTTAATTACTTTAGTTTCTACAAAAAATATTCATTATATTATTATTTTAAACACTAAAATTAGAACAATGGTAACAGGCTGTGAAACCATGAAGTCCCAAATTAGTTTTTCTTATATATACTCAATTTCCCACGTACTATACCAATGGGTACACTAAGTTTTTAGAATTTTACTTGAAAATTTCCTTCCATTATGTTCATGTTGCAAAATAAATGTGTGGGATGTACGAAAAAGGGAAAGACAGAAGGGAAAAAGGCATAGGAAAAAGGAAATGAATAAAAATTAAAATTTATCACTAATTTATTAAGTAGGCTATGAAGTAAAGGACAAAACAATATATATGGCAGAGTTAGTTAGCTATATTGACATAGAAAAAAGTACTTAAGTTTTTGCAGATTGTTATCTATAAAACCGTCTATTTCACGTGCTGCAAGTCTGCAACACAATGCTATATCATTCATGAATAGAATGCTTCATGTTTGCTGGCAAAGCACTTTCCTTACTTTACTCTGGTTTCCCACTTATAGTGAAACTTTTGCTTTCAAATTCTGTATATCTGTAGTTAGGAGCATCGAATGTTCTAGAGCTCTATTTTGAAGTTGAAATTATGAAAATTTCTAAGAAATTTTGACCATAGCCCTTCTTATCATCTTAAAGTATAATAATTTGTTAGGCAAGGATCCGGATTGTTATACTCTTTCAATTTCAGACAATGCAGTCTAGTCATATACTTTTAATCAATTATTTAGATTTATTAATTCTTTTTCTTTTTTGTTCAGTAATATTGGCTTTATGTTATGCAAAGATATCTATACATAGCCCTTTCAAGATTTGTAAACTACTTCTCTTTACTGATAATGTGACCAGGAGCTTGATATACATGGACGGATATATATCAATGAACAAGGTGTTAATGCACAGGTATAATTATCCTTTTGTTGGGTTTATTTTATTCTTTTTCTTATTGATCTTCAAGCCACATTACTTGACCAGTACATCTCATTATGTGTATATAAAGCATATTGTCCTTTGCTGCTTCTGTAAAAGACTTTTCCTGAAATTCTATTGATGATCGGAGCTAATAATTACAGGTCTTGATATACTTGAGTTCATTTTGTTCTTACGAATCTATATTCGTTTGACATATAATCTGTTCCTCACTACCACTTCCATACCACGACTATAAACTAGTTAGGTTCAGAATTGGAATGGCAATATCTTGTTTGCAGAATTTTGTTAAAACTGAAAGTTTGTGCTATTGACATTACCCAATGATGGTTCACAGTGTATCTGACAGTTGTGTTCATTGAGTTCAATTTCACTCATAACGGTGCTATGAGCTCTCAGGTGTAAACTGGTGTCCTTGTTTTTGGGTTTAACGTGCTTCATGGCCTTGTAGGGTTCTTAGGTCATCTTTATAAATTCGTACTTTTGGGTCTAGGCTGAATTAATGACTGATTTCTTATTTAAATTGACATATATTCTTTGTTATCACAGTTTAGTGGACCATCAAAAGATGCTATGTCGTATGTGAAATGGCTTAGACATGACCAAAGATTCACTGATATTTTGGTCCAAATTTCTCCTTCTAGTGGACATGCATTTCCAAGGTTGAAAATGCGTTACAAGCCTTCACTAGTTCAGGCAAGTTCAATATGCAACATTTTATGACAACTGTCACTCATTATATCTTCCACCTATTGCTTTTTTGTCAATTCTTGATTGACATTATTTGATGTGTAGTTTGATTTAGGAGCTCAAGATCTTCCACTCCTTGATCCCTCAATGCGTGCAGAACCTCTATCACCATCTGAATGGAGGGCTAGGTTAAAGTCACTAGATAGCAATCATGACAAAGCAAATGACGATCACAAGAGTTGCATTTTGTTGGATGTGAGAAATGGTACCTTTTTGCTTCATAGTTGACTGTGATTTTAACCTTTAACTAGAAAATTTGGAATTCCTAATGATGATAATTAGCAGAAGGATTGGAGAAATATTTTGCAATGTCTTTACCAGTTTTGAAATAAGAATCCTGCTGTTCTCTTGTGCTCTCTAAAATTATATATTTGTTAAAATATCTCCATTGTTCTAGATTATAGGCAGTGAAGATTTTGCAAATTTTACTTCTTTCTTACTCTAAACATCAACAGTTTTCCCCCTCTTTTTCTTTGTCTTTTCTTTTTTTTTTTTTTTGGTGGGGGGAGGGGGGGTGAATGGGGTTGATCAAGTCCCTTTTCCTGATGTGTGGCTCTAATGTTTAACTTTTATGCTGTGATATTAGATGCTTTTAAACTTTGCATGTCCTTATTTCAGAGATTAAGTTTGCCTTATTGTGTCAGGTTATGAATGGGATATTGGTCACTTCCAGGGGGCTCAACGTCCTGAAGTTGACTGCTTTAGAACTACTTCTTTTGGGCTATCAAACCTACAGGTATTGCTTGACAGAAATTTTGGTGTACATTTAATTCCTGGTGTTGACCATACGTAATAATCACTTTTGGTTCATGTAGCCGACCCAACTTATGGGATTAAGGCTTTGATTGATTGATTTAGCTCTTGGTGTAGAAGAAGATCTTGATTTGTTAGAAAAAAGCAGTTCTTATTAACAACACACTAACACAGTATCCCGTATAACTTAATTACTAATAGAAAACTCTGTGGCATGCTGCATGATGAAAGCCAATATGCTCTGTCTGCCCCACAATGTTTTTGACACTTCCCTTGTATGGATGTCCCAAATTATCTCGACCTTACTCTTATGAGTCAAAAAAAAAATTCTTCTCTCTCTATCACGTCAACACTTTTTCAGCCGATATCAAACACTTTTAGTAGGAGGGATAACCAAAGTTTGGGAAGTTGCAGGCCTTGCAGGCGCAAGGCATTGACGAAACTGATATTAGCGGATAGTGACTGTCCATGAACAGGACTGCAGCATATTATAATGCATTCTAGATTCAAATTTAAACTCAGTAGTGCTGATATAGTAAATACATTTAACATACAAGTACAACCTTTATTCACTAATGTAAATGGTTGAGAGAAATGAGAACTCAACCTGAAACCTGAAAGTGGAATTTGCCGTTGTTGAATGATGCCTGAGATGAATGAAAAGATTTTCTCAGTGTTAGGATTTTGAGAAGCAAAAGGATTAAACTCCCTGTTGATGGAAAAAGGGCAAACTGGCAAAGATCATGGAATAAAACTTACATATATATCAACTTGCGTATAAGAAAGTATCTGCCTACTATCTTGGAGAAAGGTTCAAATTTTCGGCTCCTTCTAGATTAATGTTCTTAGCTGACTGAGGAGGCCAGGTTAGTCGAATGATGGTTAGGTGTTCAAGGACGCAAGGTGACCTTGTTTTCCAGGGTATAGTATTGTAGAGCGAATGCCTGGAGCCAATGTTTGAGTACCAGGCATCGTGTATGATGGAGACCAAGGCATAGATTAGACTACTCATTCTGAAAGAGTGTATCTTAGCACAGTGGCTGATAGTGTGTCAGTTTATGTGCCTATCCAGTTCTATCTAGATGCGTTGGGTCTTTGAATTAGACTCTCTTGGCTAGTCTACTTGTGTATCATGTATTCATGTGTGACTTGGGTTAAGGACTCATGGTGACCTTGCTACTCGTCTTTATTGCTTTCTTAAGATCCACTTGGTTTAGACATACATTAAAAGATGTCTGTATGTATATGGTTAGGCTTACATTATAAGTTTATTTGCTTATGGCTTGATATTGTTTATCCCATTATTTAAGTTAGTTACTCTTGTCGTAGTTGAATTAAAAAAACTTGATATGCTTTGTAACTAAGATTGAAAGGTTGAATGTGATTAATTATGTAATTTGTGTTATAAGCTTTCGTACTAGAGAGAGTTTTAAATCTCTTTGCAAGGATTCCTTTTGTTCCTTGGTCCATTACATTGGACTAATACCTCTAATGACCTAATAAGTGTACTTGAGGAGCCCTAAAATTGCCTTAAACTACTCAATCTTCCAAACCATTAAATATTCAATTTTTTTTTGTCAAGAAAACCAATAATCTCATAGTTTCACTGATGAGATCCTTGTCAATGTGCCCATGCCATGGGATAAAAGGTGGCTTGAGATTTCCTAAAGTCTTCTGTAAGAGTACAGAGTTGAGATTTGGGCTATCCTGTTTTTTGCTTTCTTTTGCAGGGAGTCAAGGACACCTTAACCTCCTTGTGCATTACCTTTGCTAAAGCTTTAGTAATATTTCTTTTAATCAAAATAATGTACCCATGCCATACTCCTATGCAAATCTTGAATTATCTTCGACAATAAGGTGTACCCAAACTTTGTTATTTCCTACTAAGTTGCATGTATTTTACAACTTTTAACCACAATATGTTTCTAATTTAAAGCTGACTTCTTAATGGATGTGGACATTCTGTTATGATTTTTGGAAATCTTTTGTGCAACATCCTGTCATAGACTGTGTTCTTGCAATTCGAAGCTTCTGTAAATGCTTTGTATAACCCTCTTAATTAAGGTAGCTTAATTATTTGAATTTGTGGAGGTAACTTACGTTTCCAGTGTTTTTTGTATTGGCACACTTGTATATTGATCAGACGTTGCTTAGTATTGAAGCACTAGGTAAATATCTCTGGTTTGTACTTTGTTATCAGATATTCTCTTAAAGTTGTTTTTCCATTGTGCTCAGAAGACTTACTTTACCATAAATTTAGAATTATTTTACCAGAGATCTAAGTATAGTCAATTAGTCAGTATACTAAATGAACTTTGGCTTGTGAAGTCCCTGGTAAAGGTATGCATTTGATGCCACATTGATGTCAGACGGGAGGATTTTCGATGGATCTTTATTGAATAACTAAATGACTTTGACAACACTAACAACCACCATCATCACCACCTAGTATGGATCCTGTTATGAGCAGAGTTTAGGGACGTCAGATGAACAAACCTTTGTTATGGACTGGTTTGGTCGAGTTATAAGATCGAATAAACAAGAGATTCAGAAGACAAAGGCTTGAGCTTTTTGATTGATAAAGAAGAAAACTGAAATATAAGATGATAGCTTGAGGCTATCGGTCTCTCTAGCAGCTTGAGGCTACAAGTCACTTTCATTTCATTCAAATTCTCACATAGTTGCTACTACTGTTCTATTAGCTATTTATATTCAAGACTAGCATGCCCTAGGCTTAATTAATTTTGTCTTCTAATAGATCATAAAATCAGAGAATCAGCTTGCCCATTGCACCGTTGCTCAATGCCATAGTGGAACATTAATTTGCTTTGTCTTCATCTTCCCTGCTGTCACTTGGTGGCTGATACTTGTTTCCCTCCTTTTGGACAAACCCTGCTTTTCCTTCTCCCCTTCTCTCGTACACCTTTAGTGGTAGTTTGGGTGCACTAGTTGAGTCTATTACAACCTTGATGTGCTAATAAAGCAGGTTAAAATCCTCTTTTAATGAAGATGATATTGTTTATTCTCCTTTTTGAGATATTTTTCCATGAGCACTACACTGGAATCTTCAAAATTTGAGTACCATTAGGTCATGAAATTGTTAAACATGTGATAATGTTGTCTTATGTGTTTTCCAATTCAGGTGACTGATTCAGATCCTTTAGTGAATGTTGATAAAGATAAAACAGATATTTTAATGTATTGTACTGGAGGAATTCGCTGTGATGTATATTCTACCATCCTCAGGTTGTTCCCTTCTCTTATTCAATTTACATACTGTGCTTAAAGTTCAGTGGAAGTTGGAATATCAACAAGTATTGTTTACTTTCATCTTCATGACTTTGTATGATGAATCACCTAATATAAAATTTAACAGACAAAAGGGTTTCAAGAACCTTTTCACTTTGAAGGGTGGTGTTTCAAATTATCTCAAGAAGGAAGGTCCAGAAAAATGGGTTGGTAATTTGTTTGTATTTGATTCTCGCCTCTCACTCCCACCAGCCACTTTCAAGCCTGGAGCCACAACCTCAAGTGGAAGTCAGGAAGCTCCAGCTAATAGCAAATTTGCTCGATGTTACATATGTGGTTCACAAGTCAATGAATTAAGACATCGGAATTGTGCAAATCTGGACTGCAACCTCCTTTTCCTGTAAGTCATACCACAAATTCAAGTCCAAATTTGGATCTTACAAATGCATGTCTATTAATTAAACATAGTGAATATTATAACCTCCATTTATATGAGTTAAGTAGCAATTAAAAAATAAACTCAGAAGGGGGGCTACACTTGCAGGAGGGTACTTTAACATTTACAATCGTTGTTGCATGCCATACTTTTATCTGATATTATTAGCCTTTACATTTCTTATCTGAATTTATCAGAAGTTATTTGCCTTCATCCTATCTTATGTGTACTTGTTAGACCCAAAATCAATGAAAATTAGGTGAAGAGAAGCATTTGAGTATGTGCTATTCACCTGATAATTATCAGAACTTATTAGAACTTAATTTGATTGTAAATCAAACTTGTGTAGCTCTTTTTAACCTTTATAAGATCTTAACTCAGGTTGTTTTTCGTTAATATTACTAAACATATTTGAACTTACTAAATTTTATCGAAACTTATTTTTCTTGTATTGCGTAGAAATAAGGTGAACAAGATTGACTTAATGATTTATGAAATGAAATAGTCCAAATAAGTGAAGTAGAAGATGATGAAAATAAATGTTGCCATAAAGGATATAAACGGAAAGTAAGTAGAACTCAGTAAAACAATTGAGAACAACAAAGTTATGAACTCCAGAAAATGGAGGCAGTATTATATTTGAAGCTTTACCTTGAAAAAACTCCTTCTAGTAGCACCACCCCCTTGTATGGTATGGTATGTGCCACGTCATGTGTATACATGATTTGTCAGTGGGCTTTCTATTGTTTACTTATATTTTAAATACTCGCAATGAAAGAAAGGTCATTTGCTTAGATTTAACACCTATATTGGCTATATAAAAACAATTCACTAATAAAATCTTTCTTCGTATATTTTATTTGCAACACTTTTTAACCTTTTCACTTTTCCATATTTCATGTATTAACTTTGATCATTTGTACTTTATTAAAAACAAAAAAACTGTCAAATAGGAAAATATTGTTGGATTGGCCATATGCCTACCCAGTTGTGGTGATGCTGCCCACTATAAACTCCTTCATATGCTGGTTAAATCTATGATACTCATCTTTAATATCACTACTCAATCCATCTCTAAATAATATGCCACATTGTGTATTCCGTACTTTAGGCTGTCCCAAAAAAGTGGACCACTGTATATTTTGCAAGTCAAACATTGAACTCTTTTTTTTTTTGTGGGTTTCTGATACCTCTAAGTAAGGGCTTTATAGAACAACTGCACTGCTTTGATTAAGTTGAAATTCTTATGTAGTGGAGAATAGTTTTGGAATTAGTATTTACTTAGAATGTTGGTAAAACCTCCATGTATTAGACTTGCTTGAAAACCTATCTATTTTTGGGGTTCAATAGCTGTTTGTTTTTGCTGCAGTTGCTGCAGAAACTGTGTGGAAGGATTAAGAGGTTGCTGCTGTTCAAATTGTAAAACTGCTCCACGGCTAAGACCTGTTTTGTTTGGAAGCGTACGGTACCAAAAATGGCATCTTTATCGAGATAGTAAGGTTAGAGAAGAGATTTCTTAGTTTAAATCAGACAGCACTAACATCTCTCTTTTTGCATTTGATTTTATGTTATCATCTTCTATGTTGATGTGTAGCAGACTGAACTTTTAGAAAATTCAATGCATTTGTGCCTTATGTAAATATATGTGATGAGAATGAAATTCGAAGTCCAGGATTTTGATTAGGTTGAGTGATATAGTGGATTAGTTAAACTGGCGCCTCCGCCTGTTACTCGAAGAATAGCTGCCATGGAAACACAAATAAAGAATCTGGAACAACAAATTGTTGATCAAAATTCTCGATTTGATCCAAAATTTGATGAGATGCTGAAGATGTTGCAAGCGATTCAAGCTGAGAAGGTTTCGGTTCCTTCTTTTGCTCCTTCTGAACCGTCCTCTCCTTCTTCATCGTTTTTCGACAGCTTAAACAGGTCCAATTCTACCAGGACCTTAGGTATGAACCCTAAATTGGAGTTTCCTAAATTTAATGGCAATAATCCACGAGTTTAGGTAAAGAAATGTTGTAAGTACTTCAGTTTGTGTAAGATAGCCGATGAACAAATATTCGATTTAGCTTCTTTGAACATGACGGATAAAGCTGAGAGTTGGATGATGAACTATTTGTCTGTGATGTTGTTGAACAATTTAATAGACTTCAGCAGCTTGGTTCAATTGAGGATTACATTGATGCATTTGAGAATCTGAGGTCCGTGATGTTAATGAATAATCATATTTTACCAGATGCATACATATTAGAAAGCTTTGTAGGGGGATTGAGACCAACCGTTAAACCTTTTGTTAAGGCTTTCAAACCTTTTACTATTGCTCGTAGAGTATGCTCGATCTTCCTTGGCATCTGTTCATCTGAATTTCAAACCACCTAAATTCACCGCCAAATCTTTGCCTCCCAGTACCCTACCCCCTTTGCTACCAACACCACAAATTAAACCATCTTCTTCTTCTTCTTCTCAAACCTCACAAACCTCTAAACCTTACAAACACATACTTGCTGATGTTAGAGCCGAAAAGATAGCCAAGGGCCTTTGTTACTACTGTAACCAACCCTATAATAGGGAACATAGGTGTCAATTCAAGAAACCACAGCTGTTTACAGTTGAAATCCCCGGTGAATATGAAGTAGAGGAGGAGGAATTAGAGTCAGATCTTGAGGTGGACTCTGAACCCAGATATTTGTCAGTGCTTTAGCTGGAAAGCAGTCTTTTCAGACTATAAGAGTAAAAGGGGTGGTGAATGGGAAGGATTTTCATATCCTTATAGACTCTGGTAGTACTCACAATTTTGTTGATGTGAACTTGGCAACAAAATTGGGGTGTAAATTGGATCAGATTCCATTTTCAGTTGGAACTCATATTCCTTGTCAGCTTATGTGTAAGGGATTCACTTGGGAGATGCAGGGTCACAAGTTTGATGCAGATGTATTATTGATTCCTTTAAGGAGTTGTGATATGGTGTTGGGTATACAGTGGTTGAGGTTGCTAGGTCTTATCAATTGGGTATGGAGTTCAATTTGAATAATAAGAAGTTTGTGTTGAAAGGGACACCCTCAAGGAGACTTTCAGTTGTAGAAGGAAATCCTACTAAAAAAGTTTTTGAGTCTGCAGCACAGTTGTGTTTGATGTAGGTGTTTGGGGTTAGTGACTGGGAACAGGACAATTCTGACTTGTCTCAATTTTAACTAATCTTAAACAACAGTTTAGTGTGGTGTTTGAGGATCCTACTGCATTGCCACCTGAAAGGGGAGTGTTTGATCACTCTATTCCTTTGTTGCACTCCTGTGAGCATTAGGCCTTATATATATTCTTTGAAATATAGGGATATTATTGAGCAATTAGTGTAGGAAATGTTAAACAAGGGAATTATACAGAATAGCTCAAGCCCATTTGCTTCACTTGTTGTGATGGTGGGTAAGAAGGATGTCACTTGGAGGTTATGTGTGGACTACATGGAGCTTAACAATAGGACAGTCAAAAACAAGTTTCCAATTCCAGTTGTAGATGAGTTAGGTGGTGCAGAATTCTTCACTAAGCTGGATTTAAGAGCTGGATATCACCAAATGAGGGTGACTCCAAGTGATGTGTATAAAACAACCTTAAAAACCCATACAGGCCATTATGAGTTTTTAGTCATGCCATTTGGACTAACTAATGCTCCTACATCATTCCAAGGCTGGATGAACCATGTATTTAGGTCACTTCTGAGGAAGTGTGCTTGTCTTTTTTGATGATATTATGGTCTACAGCCGATCTTTGAAGGATCATTGGCAGCATCTAGCTCAGGTGTTTACCTTGATGAAAGAGCACTGTATGTTTATCAAGGAAAGCAAATGTATCTTTGCTACAAACAAGGTGGAATACTTAGGACACTATATTACTGAAAATGGTGTGGAGACTTATCTTAAGAAAGTTGCTGTAGTTAGTAGTTGGTAGTTCCTTCTAATGTTAAGGAACTTAGAAGCTTCCTAGGGTTGATAGGTTACTATAGGAAGTTTGTTATAGGTTATGCTGTATTGAGTAAGCCTTTAACAGATCAATTGAAGAAGAATGGCTATAATTGGATTGAGGAAGCCCAGTAAGCATTTGAGCAACTTAAGGCTGCATTGGTTTCATCACCAGTGGGCCATTCCAGATTTTAACAAACACTTTGTTTTGGAAACTTATGCTTCAAAATCTGGCATTGGAGTAGTGTTAATGCAGGAGGGGCATCCTTTAGCCTATATAAGTAGGGCATCAGGTTCAAAATGGCAGAAACTTTCTGTTTATGATAAGGAGTTGCTAGCCATTGTGTTTGCTGTTCAGAAATGGGAGCAATATCTTGTTGGGAATCACTTTGTTATCAAGACACATCAGAAGAGTCTCAAGTGGTTACTACAAGAGAAGATTTCAACTCCATTTTAGCAATTTTGGTTATCAAAGCTGATGGGTTTTGATTATGAAATACTGTATAAATGTGGGAAGGAGAATGTAGCTGCTGATGCTCTATCCAGGCTGCAAGGTTATGAGATTTTGTGCTTAGCTGTGACAGTATTGGATTCGAACTTGGGGTCTTTAATTGCTTCCAGTTATCAATTGGATGACAATTATGCTGCAATTATACAAGCTTTATTGAATGGAAACTTGGTTACAGGGTTCCAATGGGATGGTACTCTTTTAAAATGAAAAGGGAAGATAGTTGTGGGCCCTGATGATCAGTTGAGGCACAAAATATTGTCTTGGCATCATGAGTCCCCCGAGAGTGGACATAGTGGAAGGGAATTGACCCTGAGAAGAGTTAAGAGACTACTAGAGGGGTTGACCTGATATGCAAGTTCCTTTGTGAGAAAGTGTATTGTGTGTCAAGCAGCTAAATATGATACACACATCTGCCTATCCTGGCCATTCGCAACCTTTGCCACTTCATTAAGAGGTTTGGATGGATATATCTATGGATTTTATTACTGGCCTACCTACATGGCACAGAGTTGTTATTGTCTACTGCATATCACCCTCAGACACATGGAGGTGGTCAATAGATGCCTTGAAGCTTACTTAAGATGTATGACAGGGATCAGCCTCAAGAATGGCATAAGTGGCTATCTTTAGCTGAATGGTGGTATAATACCCACTTTCATACTGCAATTCAGTTAACTCCATATGAAGTGGTGTATAATCAGCCTCCATATTTACATTTGCCTTATTTAGCCGGAGAAGTAAGGAATGATGAGCTTGATAGAAGTTTACAAAGGAGGGGAAACATGATTGCTAATCTGAAATTTCATCTAGAAAGAGCACAGAATAGGATGAAAACTCAAGCAGACAAGCATAGGTCTGAGAGATCTTTCATGGTTGGTGATTGAGTTTGGTTGAAGTTACAATCATACAGGCAACATTCAATGCAGAGAAGGGGAAATCAGAAGTTGGCTTATCAGTTCTATGGTCCTTTTCAAGTTGCTGCTGTTATTGGGAAGGTGGCATATAAGCTTAAGTTTCCTGCAGATGCCAAAATACATGAAGTTTGTTCACAGAAACTTTGCCCTTAGTTTCTCAAATACCACTTGTGTTTCAAGGCTTTGAAGTTGATTCTGACACCATTAAGCCAACTATATTGGATAGGGAAGATTGTGAAGTTTCAGAACAAAGCTCATATTCATTATTTGGTTCAATGGGAGGACTTTCCAGCTTTCGAGGCTACCTGGAACCAGTGAACAATTTGAGCATAATTTTCCAGATTTTGTTATTCCTTAGACTCGAGGACAAGTCTTTTTTAGGGGGAAGGCTATGATATGGTGGATTAGTTAAAGGGTCTTATTAAGGTGTTTTGGGCGGGAAATTTAATTGTAATTGTTGAGTTTAGCTGATTTGTGTTAGTTGGAAGTGGGAAATGACGTGTAATTCCACTAACAATATAAATCATGTAATAAGTGTGAGTTAGTTAGCAATTAATAACAAACTCATTTTCTTCCCCAAATTCTCTGTTCTTTTTCTTTCTTCTCTTTCTCTCTCTGAACCCATTTTTCTCCATTAAAGGAGCTTAAGCTTCCTCCCTTATCATTGAGCTTTCAAGTATGATTCAAATTTTCACTCTTTCTTTTTTCATAGTAGCTTTGAAACTTCTTTGGTTGTAAGTAATTGGTTCTTTTTCCTTCATTATCCATGGCAAGCTGGTAAAGCAATGTTGCACTTGGTGAGTTTTAGTTTATGATTGCCGCTTCTTTATTGCCTTTGGGTAAATGCATAAGTGATAGGCCGTCGTCGAGCCTATCAAAGATAAAGTCCTATCTTGGTCTCACTAGCTAATAGCAAGGGTAAGAAAGGGTCGAACCCAACCGTTTAAATAAGCTAAATGAAGTCGAAATTGGTTTGGTTTTTATGTAACATGTACTAGTTCAATCAACTAATACTAAGGGGTGATTAACAATAATTAGAGAGTTTTAGGGCTCGGGATATACCACTCAATTTCGTCACAAATCACAAATAGCATGTAGCAAACAATGATAAATTAAGGGGATAATATAGGGGAAGTCATCTAAAGCACCCAACTACTCTCTCAAGCTAGAGAGATTACTTGAATCATGAATACAACTTACTCTCGTGGTTACAAAGCATAAAACAAGTGTTAAAACATAATTACGACGTCAAAAACATTACCTTGATTGGAAATTCCTATTCTCATGGCATTTCAATTCATTTAAGCATAAGGGAGCTAACTCAAGTTCATCTCTCGATCCTTCGTTGAGAAAGCTTAGATAATAGTTCTAGCAATGGCCATATACAAGAACTAAGCAATTAAACCACTTAAGCTCAAATAATTAACACCCAACAATTACCAAATTAACACATGCAACAAGTAATTAGTGACTACATTGAGGGTTTTACCCAAACCCTAGAAAATTAGACTACTCACAATCCATGGAGATTAAAGCAATTAAGGATTTCAAGTAACTCATGAACAAGAATTAACTAAAGATTAAGCTAAATAACAATCTAAGCATACACGAATTAAGTAAGATAATTAACAATCAAAGCAATTAAAATGGAAGAGAAGAGTGAGAAAAATATTACTAGAAGCTTGAACTTGAATAACAATGGTGGAACTTGTCTTCTACAATGATTGAGAATCAAATTTCCAAGCTATTAATTATAATCTAACTAATGATTTGAGAATATTTGTGTTTC